CCATCCATTTTTCTACCAAAACAACAAAACGGACACCTGAATGAACATGACTGTGAAGAACGGGGTTGGGGAACTTGGGGAAGCTGGTTTGCCTTCGGCCTGAACCATTTGGGGCGGGGCGGGGGCAGGGGGGATGTGCTGCTTGGTTTTGACCGTGCCAAAGTTCACCAAGAGATGCCTCGAAAGCTTTGATAAAGAACGTCCAAGATTGGATGGGAAGTTGCCAATCAGGGGATTCCCAGTCTTCCAGGTCAGCACCGCGGGGCGGGCAAAGAGCACGTCGCGGCAACAGTCGGACAAGTCGGGACAACGCAAACCCCCCCAGCTGCCCACACACACACCCCGAAGGACGATGAAAGGTGCCAAAACTTTGCGAATTGAAAGGGGCGGCACGCCCAAAATTTTTAGAAAGGCTTCGTCGCGGGCGCCCTGCAGGGGCAGGGATCGCCTTCCGGTGCGCTGAGGCTGGAGGTTGGGGCGGCGGGCTTAAAGGGTTTGGGACTTGGACTAGGGATTGTATTTTTGGTTTTGGTGTCCTAGGGCACAGAAGATGGGTTTCCCTGGTGAGTAAACCACCAGGTCACAGCCAGGAATCCGGCCCACGCTTTTGCGGCCACCAAAACGCACACCTAGGCTTGGACTCGCCTCCCGGCTCCGATCCCGAGGCCCCGAAGCGCCTCGAGTGGCTGCAGGCAGCAGCTCCGCGCTGTCGCCAATCCTGCACGCTCGAGCCATGCCAAGGTGAGATGTTCAGCTTCCCACTTGCTTCCATTGCAGGCCCCTGGAAAAACAAAATGTGTCAGTGAACGACTCCTTTTAAAACCAACAGGGGAAAACAAAGAATATTTAAACAAAATGGAAGCTTGGGTGGTTCGCTGGTTTGGAGGGTGGGGATAGGGGGTTTTTCTCATTCCCGCTCTACAGAAGAGTGCAAATTCCGGCTCCAATCCAGTCCACCAAACAAATATACATGGGAAAAGCGCGTGTCAGTTTGTTCAAGGTACCGGTTTTTGGAGTGTTTTTTGGAGTCATGTTAAAGGGGAAGTATAGAAGCAAACCAAACCACATTTAAGGGCTCCTACGGTTTGAGACAAACCCAATGGCGGTCGAAAAAAAGGTAGGGTTGAAAGAACATGTTCTTTTGTGGCACCTTGGCGGGCCAAAAGAAAGCTCGGTGGCTGGCGTTGTAGGGGGGTGGGTCCACTTTTGCAGTTGTCGGCATGGATGGGTGTGGTTGATTTGCCTGACTTCTCGGACTTTGCTCCTTTCCCGCGATGCTCCACTCGCTTGCTTGAAGGCTAAAAATGGCCGTCTTCTGTTTGCTTCGCCTCCAAATCCTTGGCCTGTGTTAGGTTTCTTGCGGGGGGCCGCGGAAACAAAGGAAGAACGGCCAAGGCTACCCACTCATGGACCGGTGGGAAAGAGACTGTCACAAATCCCACTAAAGGACATCAACGAAATCCAAGAACTGTGATTTCTAGCCGACGAGCATAGACGTAAACCACAAGAAGACACAAGAAACATCCTCAACGATGTTGCCCAAACTCACCCAGCAACTCCTGGAATCTCGCAGAACATCAATCTCGGGCACTGTGCAAAAAACGCCAATCCCCACCCCTCACCCTCCTGGTCCATCGTGCAACCACCCGGCTGGGTGGCACCTTTTTTTCTCCCAACTCCAACCCCCCACTCCCCTCCCCCAACCTTGGTTTCTTTCTGCCTTGGAACCTCCCCCCCCCACAACATACCATACTCCCCACTCCCCCACTTCCACCCACCCCCAGCCCCAGCCCCCAGCCCCCCGCGACTCCGCAAACCTTCGCCGTCCTTCAAGCGGCGCCAATTGGCCCTCCGGACAGCCCTGCGGCGCGCAACTCTGCGTCCAGCGCAGGGAGCCCAGGCAGCGTTAGGGCGCGGAAGGTGCCCGCCTTGGCTGGCCCGAAGGTTTCTGGTTGGTGGGTGGTGGGTGGTGGGGTGGTGGGGTGGTGGGTGGAGGGTGGTGGGTGGAGGGTGGTGGGTGGCAGGTTGTGCGTGCTGGATGGTGGGTGTGTTGTGGATGGTGGGTGGGGTTGCTTGGGTTTCACTGGATTTCTCTTTTGATAAACTGGGCCTTGTGCAACTGAATCAAACCTCGTCAAACGGGCGAGAAGCTTTGATCCCAGTGTGTGCACGTGGCTTGCCGTTTGAACGCTGGGATTGCTTTGCTGACAACCCATTGCTAGGTCTACTTCGATACGTATACATGTTAGTGGGCAAATCAAGCAAGGCTAAAGAAAAACAACGCCTTCCCCAAATTCCTAAAGGCGTGGGGGGGGGGGGCAGCCAAACATTCCCTCAATTCATGTTCAAGTGGCAACATCAACCTCCCGCCCCGCTAATATCCCATTTAAAATGTTTGCAGCCCTATTGATCAAGGGAGTTGATGATCCTGGGCTCCCACCACAAACATAACCTCTCACCCCCCCTCCCTCGGCCACATCTAGGGGTTGTGCCCATTATT